ACCACACACTCATGTGCATTCCCTCACACGCACTCTCCACTTGTACGCACATTCCTCACACTCACGCACACACACTCATGGATGAACACACACACTCATGTATGCACACATTTACACACTCTTGCACACATTCATGAGACTCCCAGTTTGTTACTGTGCATGTCTGGGCTCTGGTGAGAAGGCGATTCTCTGAATTTCTTCCCACTTTTTGAGGTAAGTGGAACTGAGTATGTCCACTCCCGAAAGCAGCGAGTTCACAGTGTTTGTAAGTGTAGCTGGCTGATTAAGTGGCATGACTTTGGTGAGGAACACACATGAAGTGGTTTACTTTTTCTCCAAATATGACCTTCTAATCTGCTTTGTTGAATCTTTGTTTCCTTTTCTTCATAATGGATCCCTTAGCTTCTCAGTCATGGTCAGGTATCCACAAATGCAGTCCGGTCCAGATTAAAATGTGGTACAGTACATTCTCAGACTTAGGGCTCCTGCCAGTCCCTCCCCTTCCCCAACAGCATCCGGGCACTGAGTGTCTAGGGAGAGGAGGGCGGAGCGGTTGGCTTTTTCATTTCTTTCACCTTTTCCTTCTAGCCTCTGTGTAGTTGAGATGAAGGGGGAGGTGTGATTAGAGAAAAAGCACAAAAGCTTTCATCTAGCTGTTGCTGTTGGAGCTCCCCGCTGGCTGTCGATGGCCCCAGTGTGGAGGCAGCAGAGGGCTAAGTCTGGAAGGGGCAGGTGGGTGTTTGGAGGGCGATGGGCTGCCTCCTCTGGCACAGTGTCCGGACGCGGGATACTCATCCAGCCTGATGTCCTCTGACTGTAACCCGCAGCTCCCACTGCCCGCGGCACGCGGCACGCCCACAGCAAGCGGCCTCCTGGATGCTGTACTGGGAAGCCTGTTCAAAACTGACTGCATTCTGCAATGTTCCCGGGCAGCTGGCACATTCTGGCCATGCCAAACGGTGGGCCGCAAACCTCGCTATTGCTTCCCCCGGCAATCTTGCTGTCTCTCTGAAAGGCAGTAAGGGCAGATCAGCAAGTCTGCTGCACTCTGAGGAGTATCCTCCAGTGTCTTCTTGTGTTCAGTCTTAATCTTCACAAATGAGCCTTTTGGGGTATCCCTGTGCTTGGCTTCTTGGAGGGAGTATCTGTGTAGGGCAGTATTGCCAGACAGCCCCAAGAGCCCCGCCCCTGGTGTGTGCATTCTGCATCATCCCCGAGATTGTGAATATGATGGGTTTTACTCCATCATTGGGTTGCATCATAAGGCACAGCTAACTTTAAGAAAGGGAGATTATTGGGATGGGCCTAACCTAATCAGGAGAGCACTTAAAAGGGATGGTTCTTCCCAGAGAGAGACTCTAAGTGTGAGAGAGATTCGATGCGGGAGCTCTGTTTCTGGCTTTGACAATGGAGGAGGCATGTGGCAAGGAATGCGGCTGGCCTCTAAGAGCAGCCCCTCGCTGACGGTGAGGAAACAGGGACCCCAGTCCAACAGCTGCAAGGAACTGAGTTCTGCCATAACCAGGTGAACTGGAAGAGAACCCGGAGCGTGAGGCGAGAACACAGCCAGCCGACACCTGACAGCTGATTTCAGCCTGTGAGACCCTGAGCAGAGAACTCAGCTACACTCCGCCCGGTCTTCTGACCTACAGAACCGTGAGCTAATGCACTTATGTGGTTTTAAGCCACTAAGTTTGCGGTGATCTCTTACAGAGTGATAGACAGCTGAGATGCTGATGCTTCACCTGCCAGCAGAGAAGAGGGGAAAAGATTCCAGGACTCTTCATTTAAGTCAACAACCCCCAAATACAGGTTGGAGACAGGTGGTAGATCGGTGGTTGCAGGGTCAAATAGCCCTGGAGAATTGGCTGCCATTGGGCTCAGCGTTCTTTAGAACGTGGGGGCACCTAGTACTACTATTTGCAACTTCAGATTTTAGCTGCGATTCCCGGACAATGGAAAAAGTCCTGTTCAATAGCCTGCTACCTCAGGGAAGGGCAGTGGTCCCAGGAGCTTCATCCTTTTGTAACCATTATTGATGCAGGCTTGGCTAGCTGAGGAGTCGAAAGAAAGACTTCTCGGACTCTCAAGGTCTGGTAGTAGTGCTCCTTTATTCAGCTAGAATAGCATGGGGACAGGACTCATGGGCAGTGAAGAGCTACAGGCGTGGGGACAGGACCCATGGGCGGTGATGGGCTGCAATGTGTTGAGGGTTAGGGCTAAATTTCTAAGGCGTGGGTATGTGCCTTATTTTTATTAGACAAAGGAAAGATGATGTAAAAAGTCATTAAAATGGTCTCAGTGCAGGTGGGGTCTGGTTATCGGGTGGTTGTATAACTTTAGATATGAATCGGGTCATATAGATCGGCATGTAGGCCAGAAAGCCTTGGGCTTCTCTCCCTGGGGCAGCGTTGATCCACATCAATTATGGTGAGCAAGTCCCACTCCAGGATGTAATTATTAAGCAAGTTGATTTTTGTTTCCCTGTGTTTTGTGGAGCTAATTAGTCTCTAGCTCCTCGATGACCATGACTTTTATGGTCACCTTCAGGTAATAAAAGGTCTTCTAATCAGTAATTAATACTTTTAATTCAGAGTAAGAACCAAAACTTTCAACTTCCTTCAAGGTTATAGCTGCACCGCTTTCCCGGCTGCTGTCGCCAGTTACGTGCAGTGGGAGGGAGGGGAGGAGCTGATTTCTTAGTTTTTCTCCAACTTATGCTTTCACCCATCAGTTCCTCTCCCCCACACTCTGATTTCTTACCTCTGTGAGGTTAGAGGAGAGAAGAGAGGAAAAGGAAAGGAATGTTCCAGGCTTGTCTTTTTATTTTTTTAAATTATTTTATTGATGTATATTATTATATATGAGTTTCTGTATAGACTGCATTATACTGACCTCCAATAATCTAGATTTTATCTGTCACCATACATGTGTGCCCCATTACCCCTTTCGCCCTCCACTCACCCCCTTTCTCTCTGGTAATCACAGTTCTGTTCTTATCCATGTGTTTGTTTATCTTCCACATACGAGTGAAAACATGGTGTTTATCTTTGTCTGGCTTATTTCACTTAGCATAATACCATCAAAGTCCATCCATGTTGTCACAAGTGGCATGATTTTGTCTTTTTCAATGGCTGAGTGGTATTCCATTCTATATATGTATACTAAATCTTCTTTATCCATACATCTGTTGATGGGCACTTGGGTTGCTTCCATGTCTCGGCTATTGTGAATAATGCTGCAATGAACATAGGAATGCATAAATGTCTTTGAATTGCTGATTTCATGTTCTTTGGATAAATACTCAGTAGTGGGATGGCTGGATCATATGGTATTTCTACTTTTACTTTTTTGAGAACTCTCCATACTGTTTTCCATAATGGCTGTACCAGTTTGCATTCCCACCAGCAGTGCATGAGGGTTCCCTTTTCTCTGCATTCCAACATTTGTTATTTTTTGTCTTGTTAATTATAGTCATTCTGATGGGTGTAAGGTGATATCTCATTGTCATTTTGTTTTGCATTTCCCTAATAATTAGTATGTTGAACATCTTTTCATGTGCCTATTGGCCATCTGTGTATCTTCTCTGGAAAAATGTCTTCTTCATATCCTCTGCCCATTTTTTGATCAGTTGTCTGTTTTTTTGTTGTTGAGTTGTTTGAGTTCTTTATATATTTTGGAGATTAACCCCTTGTCAGATATATGATTTGCAAATATTTTCTCCCGGTTAGTGGGTTGTCTTTTCATTTTGTTCATGGTTTCCTTTGCTTTGCAGAAAGTTTTAGTCTGATATAGTCCTAATTGTTTATTTTTTTCTTTTCTTTCCCTTGCCTGAGTAGACATGGTATTTGAAAAAAATACTGCTAAGACCAATGTCAGAGTGTACTGCCTATATTTTCCTCTAGGAGTTTTATGGTTTCAGGTCTTACATTCAAGTCCTTAATCCATTTTGAGTTAATTTTCATGTACGGTGTAAGATAATGGTCTACTTTCATTCTTTTGCACATGACTGTCCAGTTTTCCCAACACCCTTTATTGAAGAGTCTTTCCTTTCTCCATTGTATGGTCTTGGCTCCTTTGTCGAAGATTACCTGTCCATAGATGTGTGGCTTTATTTCTGGGCTTTCAATTTTCAGCCTTGTCTTTACTGCAGATAAAAGATCTGTAGTATAAGAGGATGTCTCGAAAGAACCCACAAAGAATAAAGCACCCCCATAAGAGAATCTGCTGTAAACTCTGCCAACCCCAGAGAGCGAGAGGTCCGGCAAAGACAGACTTGGAACTTTCCTTTCCCTTCCTGCCTTGTCCTCCCTTTCTCTCTTTTACCCTGATTTCCCCAGCTTCCCCAGCTTCTCCACGCTCCTGTCCTACATGTTGCCTAATTTCTGCCTCCTCTTCCCCCTCAAGTGTGGGTGTTTCTTAACCTTGTGTCTTTGACCTTCTTCTCATGTTTTTCTGTACTCTGGCTATTGTTTTTCATGTGCTCCCGAGGCTTCAACTCTTACTGTGGATGGCTGCCAATCTGCATTCCCAGCCCTCTCCGTCCTCTGAGTCCTGGTTCTGAGTTCCTGCTGGGAATCTTGAACTGAAGGTCCATAGTCTTCTGAAGTTTCCCATGTCTCAAAGTCAAGTCATCCCTCCTTTGTCTCTCCTCCACCTTCCTCTCACTTCCCAGTTTTTCTTGCCTGCACCACTGTTCTCTCTCTATCCAGGCTGCCTATCACCGTCTGCTTCTCCTTCTTCCTGACTCTCTGCTTCAAATCCGCCACCAGCTCCTTACATTCTGCCTTTATAATAGCTTTTGAATACATCTCCTCCTCTGCGTCACAGCTGCTCCTCCCCTAGCACCGCCATTCAGAGGCAATAACTGTTAACATTTTGATGCGTATTTTTCCAGCTTTTTTTCCCTGTCGATATAAGTAAATAAGTAAATAAATAAATAAATAAATATTATACATGTACTTTTACAAACTATTATCATAGTGTTCACATTATTGTATAAACTCATTTTTTTCGCTTAATAATGTATTGTGAAACTCTTTCTAAATAATTTCATATTCGTCCACAATAATTTTCAAATATAGTGGCAGTTGAGGACTTGGGGTTTTGTCTTCTGTGTCTCAAACAGAGTCCTCATGGCCTTTTTCTCCTCTTCAGTTAATGGTGACCTAAACTCCCATGGAAGAAAGAGGAAAAGAAAATTATGCTTAACGTATGGCATATCCTGTCCCGGTGCACCGAACTTATTAGGAACTGGGTATGGCATGAGGTGGACCCAGACGTCAGACTTAGGATGAGTGTGTAACAGATGTGTGTTGAATAGGGGAAAGGTGACATAGGAGGTGGGACTCGAAGCAGAGTCTGGTCAGGTTGACAAAAGCCATCACCTGGCCTGGCCCTGGACAGGTCAGAGGGCCACTCCCCAAAGGGCTTGTGCAACATCGATGAAGACACCCCAGCAGACTTGTCTTCTTGCTTTCACAGTGGAGAGGCACTCGGTGATCAGGGACAAGCAGTCCCAGCCTGGGGTTTTCCTGGGGACTTTGAATGCTAAAATGAGACAGTCTGGGTAAACCAGGACAGTTGACCACCCTACTCAGTGAGTCCCACCCGAGGTTCAAATTCTCCTCGTAAAGGATGTGGGTTGATTCCAGAACCTTTGAAACCATCATCTCACCTCTACAGGAACCTTGAGTGTGGTGTCTGAGAGGAGAGTTATAGCTCCCAGCCAGAATCCTTTTATATGTGAGAGAAATAAATGTGAATCATTTTTATATCGCTGTTATTCTGGATTCTCTGTCACTAACAGTCAAACCAAATTCCTACTGATAAGACTGTATAAAAGTAATACTAATTAAATTCATTTACATAAGCCCACCAATTTCACTCTTAATTACTGTGATGCGCAATAATGAAGTACACACCCCAACATACCATTGTAAGTTTTATTTGATTTCAGCACTAAACTTAGTTTATAGATATGCTTGGCTTCTTTCAACAGTTTGTTGATTACATAGTATAATCATCCACTGACAACTTAAAAAACATGGGAGGAGACATATTTCTTCCAGTGTGTGAATGGAGGCCCAGGGCACCACGCCCCACTGTTGAATTGGAATAAATGGATCAATCCTTTTTGAACAGAGTCTGAGAGACAGCATTAACACACACCTCATGGCCAAAGTACATTTTATTCAGCCTTTGCCGCATGCAGTTGTTTTTGGGGACATGGTGTGACCCTTGGCATATCTGCATCTGTGAAATAATAAGCCATTCTTTAAATCAAGATTTTGCAGCATTACGAATGCTTGGAGAGGGTTTTCAAAATTATTATTCTAGTGCTAGTCTGCTTCCCTTCTTTCTCTTAAATAATCTGCATTAGGCATTCAAAAGGTCCACTCATCCCAGGACATGACTAGAGCTAATTTGCTGAGAGCCTCTGAGCACCGCCCAGCCCTGCTCAGGACATCTGCTGGGAACTTAAATCATTTTAAGTGGAGGAATTAGCCTCCTGTTTTCTGCTGGGAAAGAAACGTGACTCTGGGTATTCCGCACCAGGCTTTTAATGGTGGAAATGAACTATGCTGCAGATATACAAAAGAAAAATAAATCCATCTTCTTTTACTAGGAGCTTGACACTTTTATTTAGAAAATTTACATTTCTGAATGCTTCCTTCGTACATTACAGATGCATTTCAAATGTGACTCTGTTAGGTTAATAGTCTACGCCTTAAAAACAGATCAGGATGAAAGTGGGATTTGAGGCCACTTTGAAGGAAGAAAGAAAGAAGAGAGAGGATTTAGCTAATGATAAGATGAATCAAAGAGCATAACAAATTCTTTTCTTGCAAAAGCAGAGAAATTCTGATAAGCCTGAAAGACTCTGAATAGAGAAACATGCTCTTGTAAATTACTTTTGCATCAGCACTTACCTCCCCAAGACTTTAACATGGAAAATCTAAATGGGAATTCTATATAATGGACCATCATCCACAATATATCAGTTATGGATGTACATACTGTGTGTGTTTTTAATATGCTTTTCTATCTGTGGTTTCAGTGTTGAATGCTGTTTTCTCCGCACATAGAACAAACTGGTGAGTTGTGGTTATTTGCTGGAGGCAACGTGGGGATTCTAGCTAAGGGAATAAAAGGTAGCTGTAGGTAAATTCTGACTGGTTTTCAAATAAATGCTATAATGGGGCTCATGATGCTGAGAGAGATTGTTTAGGAACTAAGTAGGCAGAGTTATCCATCACCATTTACTTCTGGACCCTCATGAAATCCATGTTCTCCATACATAATCATGTGTGATTTTCCCAGGAAATATCTGGGGAACCCGGGAGCACTGTCCACCTCTGGCTCCAGACAGCCTACCTTGTTCTGAGGAATTAAAATGTCTTTGAACAAAACGAAACCTGTCCTTGCTAGTCTAATTGCCTTTGTTCTCTTCTATACAAGCCCTTGCTCTGAATCTCAGTCTCTGACATGGAATACCGTAAACTGAGACATTTAAGTAAAATATTCACAAAGTGTGTGTTCTCAAAGCTGCATGTTCTTTTTTTCCAGAAAGACAGCTTGGAATTGACTTCTGCACATTGCCACACCACTACGACAACGGGTGGGTGAGCGCTCCACTAGTTGCTCCTGGCTTTACTAGGCTGTAAGATCTGATTAACCTCCTAAATGTATGTGTGGCCAGGAGGCCAGGTCACGGATAAGACTCCAGTCCTGCTGTGTCAGACACTGGGACTGCTTAGGGTAACTGTGAGCTCATCTACAAAATAATGATTCAGAAAGATCATGAATCACTAGCTGAGTCCTTTGTCACTGTGAATAAGCATCATATTATCCCTCCATGCCAGGTAGCATTGTTATTTTTCTTAATGTCTAGCTGGAGAAGGATGGTGCCAAGAAAGTTTCAATCTTGTTCTCACAGAGGGCACCCCAGTGGGACCATGAGCTCATTCTTCCAGGGATGGCCTATCTTAGCATGTGTTTCTTGATCGTGATTCATGGTCCTGAATCCCTGTGACCCTGTAGTACTCCTTCTGGCTTCTGGATTTCTCTACTCAGCTAATCTAGAATGCAGAATTTCATCTTGAGACAAAATTCAACATTTATTGTCCTTTACTCACCCTCCTCAGGGTGACTGCAGTGGGCAGGCCAGCAGGCTTCAGTGCTTTGTTTGCATGACTACTATATTTATCCAAAGAAGAATATAAAATATGCAACATTCTCCAACCCACACACTCCCCCACCAAAGAGCTCTCAGAAAAAGTAAACTTCATATTACCCTTAGAAAGATCTTAAGCTGTTTTGTTTTGTTTGTGGTTTCTCATTTCCTGAGACTTTGAGAAAGTTTGACCTAGGTTTTTTTGCCTTTTTAATATATTTTATTGGAAAGAGAGAAGGTGGTACTCTTGTTGCTAAGCAACATGAATAGGGAAGAGCACCCCTGGTTGTTTGTTGTATAAACAGTGCAATAATAAAGATAAAGAACTAAAATCCTGACCTTTTTCTGTTCCTTCATAAACCAGCCCGAAATGTCAGCGCAGTGTCTGAACACGTTAATACAATGGGAGCGACACCATTCCCACCCGGAGCCCTGACCTTCACAAACAGAGGGGAGGAGCTGGTACACTAGTTGTTTTACGAGAGTGGCCAACATCCTTTTTATCAGTAGGTTGGAGGCACAATATTCATGTCATCTCTACTTCAGATATTTATTCCAGGGTTTTATTCTCTGGCTCAACTTCAAAGGCTACTTGACCAACTACTTTGTGCCTGTAATTTAAAATTTTGTCTGGTGTTGTTTTTCTGTATAGCAAGGCGCTTAAGAACTGAGTTATGTGGATCTGTTTTCTTATTTAACAGATGAAGAAAGAGAGAGATTAATTGGTTTGCTCAATGTCACCACATGGAACAAGCTCCAGGGCTGTCACTAGAATTTAGTTCTATTAACATGCAAAATTGGAGTGCCTAAATACCAATATTCCCACAGTAAAGTTTCTTTTCTAAAATGGATGGTAGACATGGACATAAGAGAAAGAAAAGGCCTTAATCTGATACTTATTCTATAAACGTTTATGGAGTGGTCTTCATATGCTATCTGGTAACTAGTAGAAATAAGATCTTTTGAGTTCTTAGCATGGTCTTTGGGGAGAGGATTTCCCTCCTTTGTGTTAATGCATGTCATTTTCCTTCACCCATTCATTAAGTCAGTCATTCATTCACCCAAAAGACATTTATTGAGCACATACTATGTGCTAGGTACTGAGCTGGGACCTGAGAATACAGATTCTGAATAGGTTAGTCTCTGTGCAGGGAGCTCACAACAAAATAAGGGAGGGACAGATTGTTTCCATTTGATATGCAACATTAGAACAATGTGCAGGGTGTTCTGGAAGCACAAAACCCTGTGTTTCTAATGCATTCCCAGGGTGGGATGGTGATTTGGGAATACTTTCTGGGAGAGATGATCTGAGTTTGGTCTCAGCAGAAGGAGTTATCTATGTGGATATTGAAGGATGGAAGAGGAAAAGGCATTCCAGGCTGAGAGTTTGGTGTATACAAAGCCTGCCAAAGAAGCAATGGTATGCTGTGTGAATACGCAGCCCAGTGTCGGTGAGACAGAGGCAGAATAGCGTAGCTGTTGAAAGCATACCTTACGAGGACTCATACAGAGATCCTGGAGAAGAAGGCTCTGTCTCTCTATTTCAGTGATTGCCAAGGAGGGAAAGGGATAGTGGAGAATTGTACACTGGCTCTTAAATCTTCCACTTGAGAGTGATGATTGTTTTTGCTTATATCTTATTGGCCAAAGCAAGTCACATGGCCATGCGTAAATTCCAAGGGGACTGGGAAGTGCAATCCGATTCGCACAGAAGGAGGAGAAATAGGAGAGCTGCGATTATCACAGCAACTGAGCTACTAGCTATATACTACCAGGAAAACTCAAAATTTAAGCTATTGTATTTCATGGGTGTTGCCTACTTTTTATCTGGTCCATAAGAACTCCCCCACAAAAAGTAAGCCCATTTTGTTCCTTGGGTCATATTTTCAAGCAATTCATTTTGGAGGGCACACAGGGAGCAGTCCTGCTCAGAATGAATCATTCTTTCGATCTGACTAGTTTGCCTGAAGTGATCATCTGGTTCTACCTATTTTATAAACCGTGTTCATACTCCTTCACTAGAGTATTGAAATGGGAACCGTGATCTCCCATTTCTAGTACATCTACAAAAAGATATCAGTGAAACTCCCATCTCATCCATAATGGAGGATGGAAATACATTGATGACTACACATTTGCCAGGGAGTATTTATTACTGCCCAATATTTGTGCAAAACTCAGTGGATCAAAGTATGCCAAGCCCATCACTTTCCTCAAATATTTTCAAATTCACACCCTGGATCAAGCAGGATTAGTTGGAACCTGAAGGCTTGCCTTACACTGTAATGGTCTCCTAAAGATTGCGTCTTCTGAAGGATGTTGTGGTGTAATGCCATAAGCATGGCAGATGGGGGGTACTGGAAAAAGCAGGCTATTGTAAGATGTAGCCCATGTAACTTATTATGAGCCAGCTGTCAGAATGTTGTCCTACTTAGAAGGACCCCTCCCACTTCCTGGGGAGAAAATTTACTTCCCCTAAGCAGTGGTTTGTTTTTAATGTCATGGACACTGTGAGTTACCCTTTTGTTTTTAACTACTGGAGAACATAGCATCTAGATTGTAGCCCAACAGTTGTTAGTGAAGAGTTCATTATAGAACGTACATTGTCATCATCCCTGGTTCCATTGATATTACTCTCTTTGTTTTCTTTTTTCTATTCTTCCCTCTTTTAATTTCTGTTACTTTGTATTTAATATTTTTTCTTTAAATGCTTTCTGGAAGAAAGAGGACCATAAATACGTAACGGAGGGGAAACATCTTTATATTTCTTGTAATTAACCTCTTCTCTCTTGGTTCCCCCATTCTTGCTGATGGTGAAATAACTCAATTAAAGGTAACTCAGTGTCTTTTAGCTAAAAATAATCTTCCTCTGGTAGATATCTTGTATTTCAAAGTACAGATTAACTCTGAGGGATATTTCTCTCATCTCGAGTGATCTTTCTCTCTCCCATCTTTCCTCAAATGGTGTCTAGGAGCAAGGAGAAGCTGTGGGAGGTGGGTGGGAGAAATAGGTGTTTACCTTTGGTTTAATGCATGTGTCTATGTGTGTGTTGGGGGGTGGGTGGTGTGTAGACAATGAAATCAGATAGGGGTGTATTGAGTTGGACTTGCCTGTGAATTTATTGAGCACATACTATGTGCTAGGTACTGAGCTGGGACCTGAGAATACAAAGATTCTGAATAGGTTAGTCTCTGTGCAGGGAGCTCACAACAAAATGAGGGAGGGACAGATTGTCCTCCATCAGAAGGCAGATGGCTGTCTGAGCCTGAGGTTCAGCAAGTTCTCATGAGGCCTATTATCTTGGCTTGTCAACTAGTATGATTTTGATTATCTGGGGTTTGACTAGTGGAAGAAAGAGACAGCCATCTTTGAAGTCCTATACTTCATCTTGAAGAGTACCAGGGGTTCTCCAACTTCCAGATGGGCCCCCTGCTCTACCTGTGTAGCTTTCAGTTTCAGGTCACTGATTCATATCTCAAAGCTTTGGAAGAAACTTGCCTATGAAAGATGTTTTTAAAATAGAAATACTTGAGGTTAACACATATGAACAAGTCAGCACAGCAAGGTATTAATTCCTGGAGAAAACTGACCAAAGTTAATGACATTCAGTGTAGCTAGGGTTATAGTGGGGACATGAGTGTTTAGGGGGAGTTTAGACACAGGCTTTGTTGGTGAGGGGCTGTGGCAGGGGCTCCTCCACATCCAGAGGTCAGAATTACTTGTTTGGAAAGGGAGAGTTTGAGAAAAGGAGGAAGAATGTTGAAGGGAAAGGCAAGAGTTGCCAATTTTGTTGAGGCCCTGAGGATGGTGACTGACCCTATGGGTTGCTTTCTGGGTGAAACTGGAAGGCTTTTTGGCAAGAAGATGTATGCCCCCTGAGACAAAGAGAAGAGGGAATGTTATACCTGAGAGATGTATCACTGTGTGAATGTCAACTCTTGGAACATCCAAACTCCATCATTTTCTTGAAGGAACCATATCTGCTTTCACTTTCAGCTCCAATCTGAGTAAGATTCAGGAGTGAAATCGATGCAAGGAGCTCCATGGAAGTAGGATTGAATGCCTCTGGTCTTTTGGCAAGCTGTTTTCATCAAGTCATAGCAAGTATCACGTCTCAAGCCATCATATGACAAGACATTCTGTAAGGAGTTTACTCATTATTTACTGAGCATGTCAAAGTGTTGGCTGCCTCCAGGGCTCTCAGGGGAGCACATATTTGCCAGAGTATTTCTGTGAGAAATACAAGCAAGAGATAAATTTGCCACTCATTTTCAGGACTGCCACTAAGAACACATAGTCTGTTTGCTCCCTCTCCTGCAGAGGTTTCTGGGTACAGAGAAAATACCATTAAGAAATAGATGTAACATCAAGGTATCCTAGGCTGGGTGACTGCTATGAACTGTCCCCATACCCACAGTGTAAATATGATCTCTTTTCTTTTGTGTCTTTCAACTAATGACTTAAATTCCATGTACTGTATCAACAGGAAAGCTAATATCTTCTTCTTGAATTTTATGCCCCCTTAGCCTGAATTATGAAAAATCTCTGGAAGTTTTGTAAAGATTATCTTTGATTTTCACTGCCACACAGAGTTGCTGTCAAAAGCTTGTTCTCTGCAGGATGACCAATGATGTTGGTCCATTTTGCAGTGATGTCTGGGTGGCCCAGATCCCTGTACAGGATGCTCTGGACTTTCCAGGACCATGATCCCCTTGCTGTCAAAGCTGGGCCAAGGCTACCCTGCGCTTCGGCTCTCCAGGTTGTAACTCTTTCTGTTTGGTTTATTTAGTCACCAACTTCCAGAGTGTCAGCTGCCCTAGGAGCATAGGTCAGGACTGAGTTGAGTATCTGCCCTTTGCACACATGAACCCATAGTCCTCTTTGCCTCTACTAGGAGTCACCCACAGGGCCTCCACTAAACAAGAAGCTCCAGGTTCTGAGGATGTAACAGTGCCTGAGGCAGACATATCGCTGCTTCTTGAGGCAATCTAGTGAGTAGACAGGATTACAGAGGAGAGAGGAGAAGAGAAATGGGTCAGCATGGAAGGGATGGGCAAAAGAAGTTGAACCTACAAATAAAACTGAAGTGAAGTGTAGGAGAAAATCTAAAAGGTAAGAGGAGATAGGAAAAAAATTAAGAGAATATGATCAATAAAAAGAGAATATTTCCCTTTAGAAAGAAGAGATGGGCAACATTTGATAAATACTGCAGAGGGCTTAAGCTAAGGACAGGTAAACACCTGTTGTATTTAGCAATAAGGAGGCCAAACCATAGTGAGAATGTTTTCAAGAAGCAGTGGAAGTGGCAGCTACTTGAGGAATAAGTGGGAGGTGAGGAAGTAGACACAATAAGTAATGATAATTCTTCAGGTTTTCTGTGGAAGGGAGAACAGAAATACAATGACAACGGAAGAGGATATAATGTTAAGAAGAGTTTTTGTTGGTTCTTTAGGAGCGTTGGCAGCATTTTCAACGCTGTTGGAAGAGACTCAGTCAAAGGTGAGTGATACAGACACAGGAAGAGAATAATCAATAAAGAGGGTCCTAGACCCTGAGCAGGCAGATGCGATTGGGAATGGTGGGCAAGTTGGAGATTCATTTATGGAGGAGGAAGTAAGTCTTTCTTTGTAAGAGGAATGAAGAAGAAGAACGTGGATGCTGATGCAGGTGAGGCTGCGCATTTGGCATGTGAACATTGAGGCGGTTTAAATACTTCAGCAAATAGGAGACAAAGTTACGTGCTGAGAATGAGGGGTGGGACCAGGCAGGGTAGTGGACTGGGCTTCATTTATGACACTAATGTGGTTAATTCAGGCCCAAACGCAGAAGCTCTGTTGGTGATCCTTGTCCATCGAGTTCAAGTCTCCTTGGAATGTGAGATGGTTTATTGTGGGACTTATCTTCGGATCCAAGAGACAAATTCCGAATCTCATGTTTGTTCTCTGACTATCCCATGTCATACATACACCTGACAAGAAATACTTTGGACTTTTTACTTAGTAAATTCAGCTCAAAAGCTGTTTATAGGACATCTACAATAGGCCAGGATTTGTGGATATGGAAAGGAATAATTAATGTTTCTACCTTCAAGGATCTGTCCTTCAGTGACATAAAATGCAATTCGAAGAAGAGCTGACTTTTCAGAACTGACTTTTGGATTACCTGCTTTCTTTGAATATCCAGTCTATGATTCTTTTCAATAAATATAAATGTTAAGTAATAGCTTCTTTGGGAATACTGTGCTCTACTAAGATGAGCAAATTAGGACAAAATTTAATGAATGTGTATAATAATTAATAATGAAACGTCCCTGCTTTATGTAGTTCTTTAGCTTTTAAAAAGCTTTATATTTAATGTTGCTCTTTACATTATACAAGACTTTCAGATACGTTATTTTAATACTTTATACATCTTTTAATAACCACATTAATTCTTAAAGTTAAGTCTTAATACTTCCCTTTGGAAGACAAGGAAAATGTTAGAAAGCTAACATTTTGCACCCCTAATGTGCCAGGCATCTTACATATATTACTTTATTTGATCTGCTCAAAACTCCATGATGCTGATGTTATCCTTATTCCACAGACAGAAATGTAGAGGCTCAGATCTTGACTGAGGCCCTTTAGCTGGGAGATGTGTGGGATTGAGAGTCAGGTCTGCTGATGCTATAGCTCTTGTATTTTGCACTGTGCACTATTTTCTTAGGGTGGTAATAAGCTAATCTCCTACATCTTTGTAGCCACTCTTTGAAATGGGCAAAAACACTGAAAGGTTAACAGTCTCATCCTAGGCAGTGGGCAGGCAGGCTTCTAGCTTCCAGCTCAGTGCCCTTCCCACTACCCCTCACCCCCAGCCCCCACCCCACATTGTGACTCTGTGTTAAACCCAATGGTCATCCCACCTAACATTACCTAGTGACCTGCTAGAGTCTACAGCACTTCTGGGAAGTCATCGCCAGTCTGACCTTAGGGAACAAGTCAGTTCTTAGGAGAATCTAGCTCACTGGCTTGTTCTGTTTATAGCACCCGGATCTTGCTGCATTTCTGTGCTTGACAGGCACTAATATTCAAGCTTCCTTCTTTCTTACAAAACAGACAGGTGAGTCAAGATAAAAAACAAATGAGAGGGGTTTGTTAAGGGCTGGGAAATATTGACAGATTTGTGGCAAATTTCAGGAAGAGGCACAGAAGTAATAAATGATCTGAAGAACAGATTCATGAGGGGAAAATGTAAAAACAACAACAATAATAGCAATAAACAAAAACAAGCCAAATCTTAATGACATATTTCTTGACCAGTACAGGGAGTGAAAATGGTCCCTTCTGAGGCAAAGTGCCAGCAGATTTGAAACACAGTTTAGAGGCCTAAGCTGTAAAACAAATAATCATAACAGAATATTTAGATTGAGCATTAAAAGAGGCTCATCTGAAACTCTCAGGGCATAGACTGATCTTCTAATGAATGGATCTTTAAATGCAAAATGGATTATACCCCTCATATGTGGCTTTTCACTCTAGAGCAAATTATTACTAATTGGAGTTACACTACTTTAAAATGGGTAACAATTCTGACGTCAACTGACCTGCCCTGTGCTGGCCCTGGGCAAAATAGTGAAGGAGGTTGAGTTAGCTTTTTGCTTCTACCCACCTGAAGATCTTTCTTTTCCTCCCCCTTTCCTCTCCCATCTCTCCTCATGTGTCCAGGGTCTTTACTCTTTCCCCCTGGGGCCCCCAGGCTGGGACCATCCCTTGGATATTTCTAGCATTCTTCTTTCAAACATGACTTCCTTCTGTCCCATTTCCTCTAACTTTCATAATGAACAGCAATCAAATTCCTTACCATTATAAGAATACATCAGTTATCCAGGAATATTTACTCCTCTCTACTTCCCCTCTCCTTTGCAAAGGAATCAAAACTGTAACCCAGAAAAATAGTTTGAAAGGGGAGACTAGCTTGATTTCTCTCACACTGTTTTTCTTAAAGAGAAATCCCAGCCTCTGAGGTTCTGTTTACTGAATTAGCATCACAAACAAAATAGGCTGTAGGATATTTATAATTTCCCAAGATACCAAACTTTCAAGATATTCTTAAAACCCTAAGAGTGGCTCGCTGTCAACAGGTAATTTATTTGTTAAACAGAGCTTATTTTTAATGTAATTTTTTTGCATCACGTTCCTCTAGGAACTGGAATAAGCTCATTCCAATCATTTTATGCATTTAAAAGGAATAATGCTGCATTTAGAAAAAAACACATAGCTCAGTATTTTTATTAGTTCAGATATTGTCCCACCTCTGAGTTATGATTTACTCTACATAGAATAAATGTTACTATGGAAACAAATGGTGCATTGGGACAAAACACAAATTTGAGAAAAGATGTATCTACAGTATGCTTTCAGGGCTTTTGATTTTATGTAAGAGAAACAAATTCTGCTTGACTTAAGCCAGAGTGAAATTGATTAGATGATGTTGGAGAGTTTTCACAATCCATGCAAAGACTCAGAAACTGAATGACTGATCACAACCAAGGCCACACCCCGGCAGAGCTGTGTAGGCTCCTAGATGCTATTGCTGCCCCAGCACTGCCATCCTGGACACTGGCACCACCCTGGAACCCCACCAGAACCATGCTGGTCGGCCCTGCGCCTGCGTGAGTTGGTGGTTCTGGGCTCCGCTCTGATCACTGACTTCAGTTTAAAAACCCCATTGGCTGAGCCCAGGCCACATGCTTGTATCCTGGCTAGGAGGTGGGAAGCAGAAAACTTGTCCCTTCCAGTTTCAGTAGTGGGAGCTGGGCCCGCTTCCCACCAACACCTAACCGGGGAATTCCCCAAACACACAAAAGGGTCTTAATGCTGCATATCTAAAAATACACAGAAACTTAAATCTCACTCAAGCCACTCAGCACGCTTGAAACGGAAATTCTCAAGCAAGTGCAACCAAAAGTGAGCTTGTTTTAATAATTAACCCAGATTTCAGCTTCCTTTACTATATGGAGATAAACTTGAATATCTCCACCTTATGTACCTTGGTGGCATTCTTGCTCTTTTCCCAAAGAAGGCAGTTCCACACTCTACAGGGCACATGTGCAATGGGATACATGGTAGGGAGAGAGCCAGCAGGCTTTCCTAAAGCCTAAGATCGAAGTCTTGCGTTTAAAATCTTTCCTCTGGGCCGGCCCCGAGGCCAAGTGGTTGAGTTCACACGCTCCGCTGTGGCGGCCCAGGGTGTCACTGGTTCGGATCCTGGGTGTGGACATGGCACCACTCATCAGGTCACGCTGAGGCGGCATCCCACGTGCCACAACTAGAAGGACCCACAACTAAAATATACAACTATGTACTGGGGGGATTTGGGGAGAAAAAGCAGAAAGAAAAAACAATCTTTCCTCTGGAAAATTGGGAGAAACATCAAATAATGTTACACAAGGTGAAGTAAAGATTTGGACTGAAATATATGCACAGCACAATTCCTTTATGATAATAGGAATTTTTTCTGTTACATCGATAGAGAAGCACTTCGGAGCATATTTAGTTGGATTCGTGATGTTAACAAATCAATGAAATTCACTAAGGGTCTTTGCGATGGAGTTTTGCTCTTTAAACTAAATTATAGAAATAAATATCACACACATTCAAATCATAATTCAATTTATTCTATAGCGTAATATATGTTACATATTAATATATAACACATAAATCATAACCCTCTGGAATATATAGCACATAATTAAATATTAAACATGACATACAATTACGTAATGTATATAACATAATATAGTACAGCATATAGTTTGTCTTATTTCTCCTGTTGCTTAATTTTTCTCTTTACCTCTTATTATTTGTTTGCCCATTTTGAAACTCAGTAAGTGACAGTCTAATAGAATATGTATTATTAATTGTTAAACAGGTGGTTAAGAGAGAGGGTTAAAGTAATATTTGTAATGATTTATTTCGAGTCTTTTTTTGTAATTAGTCTCTGTTTTTGCCAGCATAATAGGGAAATTGAAAGTTGGCTGGATATCATTTTAAGCTACTATTCATTCTCATTTCCCCATTTTATTTTTATGACTATTTATTGGCTAGTTCAAGATACTAGATACATTTAATTAAATCATCAATGAGCAGTCAGTGTAAGAAGAATATGAAGCAGAAGAGGAGAGTTGGAAAAGTTTTCAAAAAAGCAGAATATAGGAGAATGAGTAGGAAAATGAATGGGTGAATGAAACAGAAATGCCTCCATAAGGGACCTGATAAACAAAGCCAGGTGTTCCAGAAGTAAACCCGCTTCCTGTTTCTTCCCCTCCATCCAGCTGTGCTCCATGGGAGGCCACTCTTTCATCTGGGCGCCCTCCTTTTGATAGTTAAAATGGCTACTATGGATTTAGGAATAAACATGCACACAGTATTACTTTTTCACAAGAATGGCACTATTCTCTATTCTGTTAGCGGAGATGGTCTCCACCTACCTGTTTGTCTAGGGAGGGGATTTGAAGACCCACTTTATACCAGATCTACTCTACATGGGAGCACTTTGTAATAAGTTCTAGCCAGCATCACATTCCACAGAGCTTGGAAAAGCCAATGCAGTGGGGAATCCGGCCTCCTAAGGTGTGGATGCATCTACTTATGCATCCTCTCATGCATACATCACAGGAGAAGGCACTCTTATGCAATGCTCACAAGTAAGGGCTGTGGAGTCTGAGAAATGTGGTGAAAACCACAGCCCCACAACATGCCAGATATATGCCCGTGAGGAGATTACCTAACGTCACTAATCCCCGCTATGCGCATCCACAGTGTGGGCGAAATCACAAGACTTACCTCACAGGCTGTTGGAAAGAGTACATGAGGAAAAAGCTCTCAGGATGCTGCCTGGCACGCAGTAATTGTTATACTCAGAATATGGTTACTTACTTACATGCCTTATAGTTTTATAAAAAATTTCATGTTTTTTCCCATTTGACCTTACTACATACTATGTTGTAGACATTTTTAGTATTACTATTTTATATATTTTATAAAAATTCTTTAGGCTCACAGATGTTGAAATAATTGATTACAATCCTTCAGAACAGTAATTGTTGGGACTGGAGTTTTAACTCAGGCATTCATATTTTAGGACATTTTCCTGGACTGTTGTCAACTAATGATTTTGTCTTCTGCTCCATCATAATACTCCTTTCATCTAACTCATCCTTTAAATATAAATGGACTCAGGTATGCTTCCAGTTTTTGTGGTATAGTAGGTTAATGTCACTATTTTTTGATGTCTCAATTATGATTTCACATTTCATGTGGGTACACACTGGAATTTTGAATTAAAGTAGAAATTTAGATCTTGTTGTAATTTAATAATGGAGACTTTGGAGATATGGTCATTTCTTTTTTAGAATGCTATCTTAATATACAATATAAGCACAACAAACTGTACGTGCATAAAGTGTCTAACTTGATGAATTTGGCATATGTGTACTCTCATGAATCCATCAGCACACCCAAGATAAGGAACATTTTCATCACCCCCAAAAGTTTCCTGTTACCCCCAGTAACCCTCTGCTTTCTCGCCTCTCACCCCTTCCTCACCTTCAGGCAACCACTGATCTGCTTTATAGCCCTCTAGATAGGTTTGTAGTTTCTAGAATTTTATATAAGTGAATCATACAATATTACTCTTTTTTGTCTGGTTTGTTTCACTCAGCACGATTATTTCAAGATTCATCCATGTTGTCACATGAATTGATGGTCCATTCCTTCTTTTTGTTGCATAGTATACCACAGTAAGAATATACTACAATTGTTTATCCATTGATCTAGTGATGGACATTTGAAGTGTTTCTGTTTGGGATATTACAAAGAAAGCAACTCTGAACATTGGTCTACAAGTCTTTGGGTGGTTATATGATCACATCTCTCTACCCAGGAGTCGAATGGCTAGGTTATATGGTTGGGAAGGTGTATGTTTAACTATGTATGAAACTTCTGACTTGTTTTCCAAAGTGTTTTTACCATTTTACATTCCTACCAGCAGTGCATGACAATTTCAATTTCTCCACATTTTTGCCAACACTTTGTAGGTCAGTCTTTTTAATTTTAGCCATGCTACTGGGTAGTAGTAATATCTCCTTGTGGTTTTAAATTTTCCTTTCCCTGATGACTAGTGAGTATCCTTTCATGTACCTAAATGCCATCTGTATATCTTCCTTTTCAATTGGTCATTTGTCTTCTTCTTATCGAATTATAAGAATTTTTTCTATATCCAGATAGAAGTCTTTTACTGGATATGTTTTGCACATATTTTTCTCCCAGTCCACGGCTCACTTTTCATTTTCACGACAGTAAAGCAGAGGAATTTCCACCCTGAATATTTTCCCTCCCGGGACTTCCTCTTCTTTGTCTTGAATCTCGTTGTCAACTTCTTGTCCAGACATGGCTTGTTGCTGAGCCCCCGGCACACCAGCTCTGCTTCTTAGACGGGACCTTCTTGCTGTCCTTCACAGTGGTCATTCTTCCGATTCTATGTGTTTAGTCCCCTTGGTGCCCTGCATCCATCTGTAAGAAGAGAGACCCTGCCTGACTGGGTACTGAGGTAAGTGACACACCCTTGGAGTTTTAGCTCCCAGAATCACGGACTTCAGTGGAGTAACTGCATTTGTTAGAACCCTCACACACTCAAACAAAATGCAGCCATCTGGGACAAAACCAAATATTGACTAGTTAATGATGTTAATGAAGAATCTCATCATTTCTGCTTACTTATCAAACAGCCACTAAGTGTGAGGGCCTTCTCTATGAGTCTAATGGTCAAGAAAGAGGCTCCATACAGCTGACTACAGATTTCTGGAAGACTGACCCTGCATGTTAATTCCATGACATAGACATGGAATTGCGTGAGTGTGGTTATAAAAGACATAAGTGATGCTCTAGATATGGAAGCCCTACTATTTCGTTCAGGAGACTTTCCAAGATGGATGAGCTATTTCTCACCAATCCGGGGCTTTTCGCTCCTCCACTGTGAATACATGTGAATTTCTTTCTATGACTTATACACCTTCCAGTGCTCTATTTCCTTCTGAATTCACACAATTATTAAAGGGAAATTGTTTGTAAAGGTTAAAGAATATCAACCTACTGATTATTTTGTGTCAAATTTTCAGGTGTCCTGATTATAGACATTGAATCCCCATTGATGAGAGTGTATCTCAGTTCTAGGTAAGTGTGACTGAAGATTCAGTTAGTACTTAGACCCATCCACTTTCCCCATGTTCAGGAATTTCTCAGAATTCACTTCTGAGGCTTGTCCCCTCACCCCTGGCCTTTCTGAATGTTAATTCTAGGATGCTGCTTCTAAATGCAGCAATTGCCTCCTCAGCATGGATCCTTGGCCCATTTTCTCAGTGGTGGGAAAATTCGAAAAGAATAACTGAGAAGGATCAGCTCCCTTTTTGTTGCCCCTGCAGCCTGTCCTGTCAATCACCACTCTTGGAAGGCGCTTGGTGGGTCCTGATAAGGACAAGTTCCTCCTTGTTTCCCACATGGCCTCTAGCTGGGGACAGTCATCTACGGCCTTTCCTTGAGTCATGGGCTGACATGCTCACACTTGGCTGTCTTTTTGTACAGAGTTAAATAGTCAATTGTTCCTTGCCATCTGGACACTGCTCACTAGCAAATCATTGAAGAGACAAAATTTCTATTTTTAGTTTCTTATTTGGAAAAAAACCCCACATAAGACACCATTATAATCAAGTGTAGTTTCTTTTTTAAAACAGAAACTCTGTTCTTTTTGCTTTCAACTCTCCTTCATAGATGTCTATCCCATGATTGAGTCAAGGTGAACACTGTCATTTCATCCCATAGAAATTAGCTGGTTTTCGTCACAACTTCAACTGTGCATTTTATGGTGAATTCAGGTTTTAATACAGGTCTTTCTAAGAATTAAGTAACTGAATAGAGAGAAACTTAAAGAAAAAGCTAGTATTTGGCTTCCTGAAGGGAGAAAGCTTTAACTTGAGAGGGTGTGAATCACAGGAAAGGCTGGTAATAAAATGGGGCGTCTGCAGGAAGGAGTCTTGGAAGGTTTTGAAGGTAAATTCCAATTAGAAGATAAAAGAAAAAGAGACCAATTGCTAAAACAAGGTTGTGTGATGATATTTGCAGCTGGGAACATGATTAGAATGCAGAGGTGATAATAAAACCCAAGTGGGGAAGGGAAACTTTAAAGAACTAGATGAACAAAGAGGTAAGGTAAAATATTTTAAATCATGTTTAATGAGCTTGTGATAGAACAAGCCAAAAAGCAGAACTGAAATGTGCTGAAAAAAATGAAAAAGAACTTAAATACACCTCTGCCCTGTAATGAGGTGGGGGATGGAAAGAGACGGAGGATCCTTCTCACAAAGGGCTGCCCGGAGGGGAAGTCAAGGCACAAGCGTCCTGTGAGTGGAAGGTGGTGAGGAGTAGGAGTCCCCCTCCTCTTACCTTGCCTCCCCGCCCTGTTTTACCTGCTTTTCTGGGTTGATTATACACATCTAAATGCCTCGAGTCATTTTTAGCCACAGTCTCCTGGCATCCTGACTCATGTCATTGTGCACTGAGCTGTAGCTGGCAGACCAGTGTGCAGATTAACAACCTGACACACCATTGATTGATCACCTACTCATCCGGTACTTAATCATACACTGCAGCACATGCACTTCATTTTTAAGGTGAATGTGTTTTATCAGCCGGATTATAAGCACTGTGAGGACAAGGACTGTAGTCTATTTGTCTTTGCTTTTCTCATGGCACCCAATTGATTGCTGTTGGAAATAGAAAGCAGCCAAGAAATCCATGCAGGATGGAGAGCTCTGTCCCCTACCTGTTGGGTTTTCTAAAAGGTCTTCAGGAAAAAGACCATCTAGATGTGGGGGCCATCTCCAGCAATTCTGAAGTTCTCAGACGAATCCCGATGGTTTTATGTGTCCAGGAGCTGAAGAGCAGTCAACAGACTTCTGAGCTGCCGTCCTTGCTCCTAATCAGCAGTTGAGTTGTTGCTATTTCTCTTGGTGATAGAGGAACTGAGAGGCTATCTTGTTTATTTCCTTCTAATTGTGTATGGTCAGTTGTGCCTCAACATTAATGGATTCACATTGCAGAGGACCTGATAGAGGAAGGTGAGAATCAGTGTTTGATGGGGGTACAGTTGGACAGCTCACGTCTCTGCACCTGGACCCCTGTTAGATGAGTTTCACCATACTCAGTGTTTTGGATTCAACAGGGATTTTTCACTTAGCAATTTAGAAAACAAGTGTGCTAAGAAAAGCCAAACGTTTATCTGGTTAAACTATCTAGAAACATGTGGTTTATTACATATGTAACGTTCAGATATGTGTTCTTTTGTAACCAGAAATTCTTCTTCATTATGACTCTCTCCCATTGATCAACATCTTACTCCAGGTCTTCATCTTGGTCTTAGCCCTGAATATTTGTTCTCGGATTTTCGCTTTCCTAATTCTTGAGTCTCATTCAGCCTTTCCTGGTTTTTCATACGAGGGCCTCTCAGGCCCTTTATTAGCCCCAGGCCCCTTCAAAGTGGTGTTGGGCATGCTGCCATTGTTACATAAATGGCACTTGTTGATATAGATGTTACTGTTTCTCTTTATGTTATCGTATTCCCTGTCTTGATTCTTACTCTTTCAGTTGTCTCAATTCTGGAGTCCTCTGACCATAGCACAGCTCAAATGATTGCTGGGACAGTGGTAGGGATTGTCAGAGAGGAAGGAAGAAGGTTTGTCTTAATTTGGGCTGAATGTAAGAAGGATGAATCGGACTCAGATGGGTGGAAAGGAAGGGAACACAGAGGCACTTTTCCAGGGTTGCAAATGGCCCAGAGAGACTGTGTAGTGAAGAGATTGGAAAAGTGGCTGGGTTTGAGCTAAATGGTAGGCTGAGGAATCTGGCTGTTCTCCCATCACTGTGACAGCCTGATGAAGACATGAGCTGGGGCCTGGGGTGATAAGTGCTTTGTTCAGGAAGAAGATGAAAGTAAATTGGTGTATAATTTGCCTCTTTAGATCCAACACTGCCCTGACAAAATGTCCACAAATTAGCCACTTTTTCAGGTGATTTTTCTGCCTCAAATTCTGAGCTGATTTGAAAAATTTGCCATGACAACCTTTGCTTGTTTTAATTCAATGTTTGAAACATAGAGTCTTAAAAGCTTCAATTGGTCATTCCCTCTAAGATATTTTTAAAAGATTTCCCCAAATTAATAAGTATTTGAACCGTGTATGCTCGTGTGTGTTCCTGAATGTCCACGGTGGTAGTCATTCTAGGATGGTCCTAAAGGATCTCTGTCTTGTGAATTCACATTTTTGTGTGATACCACCTGAGTGTGGGCTAGATATAGTAACTAAGTTCTAGTATATAGAATATGGTAAAAATCATGGTACATCATTTGCTAGATTTGGGTATAAAAAGACTGTGCCTTCCATTTGGGTGCCCTCTCTCACATTCTCTCTTTGGAGCTCTTGCTCTGGAAGCCAGTTACTAGATTGTGAGCAGCCTTATGGAGAGGCCCACATGGCAAGGAACTGATGTTTCCAGCCAAAAGTTAGTGAGGACTTGAAGCCTGTCAACAGCCACCTGAGTGAACCTGGAAGCATATTGTCCCGTTTGAGCCTTGAGATGACTGCAGCCCCAGCCCGGACTCAGACTGTAGTCTTGCCAGAGACCCTGAGCCCGAGGACCCAGCTAAGCTGTGCCTGGATTTCTGACCCACAGAAACTGTGAGATAATAAATGCTTGCTATTTTAAGCCACTAAGTTTTGGATAATTTATTATACAGCAATAGATAACTAACATATCAATTAATTGTGAACTTGTGGAATAAAGTTATGCTATGTCTATGTGATAAGATATAGTTGAGTCATTAAAATGATGAAGATTATTTAGTAATATGGGAAAATATTCACAGTATACTCTTATTTGTCAAAAGCAGATTATTATTAAACAACTTGTACTATGTGGTCCAAGATATATGTGAAAAATAATGGAATTATATTTTCCAACATATGTGTAAAATATGGATTATGGAATTTATGGCAGGTATATTTGTTATTTTACAAATTTCCTGCAGTGAATGTGCATACTTTTAGAACCAACTATGTTTTAAGAATGTACTCTTTAACATACTCTTAAACTCTTAAACTTAAAATACTCACAGGGTGGACCTGAAGCATGGTCCTAGTGGAAGTGTACTTGAAGGCACCGGGACATTTGGGAGTGGATTTCTAACAAACAAACTGATGGCTAACATTGTTGTAAGCTCAAGTTCAACATTACAAATGAGCAGTTTATTTAAAATAAACTTTCATTATTTATTAGGATCGAGGAATGCCTTCTTCCATAGGCAACATTCAGCACATCAGATATGTCCTTGATGCTTTGGTTGCACCAGTTATTGCCCCAAGATTCAGGCACCTACACTGGCACCCTGCTAGAAAGCTTATGTGGCTCAGGAGGAGGGCACTCAGACCACAGCTGGTCAGCGAACTAGAACCAGAGTTCTATGAAGATTAAGTGCTTAGGAGTTTGGGAATTGGTTTTGAGACTGCTTCTTGTAGTTGATAGAAACTTAACATTTTCTATACAATTCCTGTGCTAGCTTTCTCAAAGAAGAAAGACACTGGAACCCATCTGTTCTAGACGGAGATGAAACCTGTGCACCACAATTAAATATCTGCCATGGCAAAGGGAGATAATTTCTGTGGTTTGCTCATAATAATGGTTTTAAGTTCCTGTAGGACCCATTCAACTCTGGGGAAGACCTATTAGCTTTTGGAAGCAGACACAATGGTAATTTGGCTCAAACAGAAAAAACCTTCTTTCTGAGAATTCTAGAATTTTCTTCAGTTTTGCATCCGTTCTAATTAAATATAGGTGTAACTTAGAAGTGAAGTAATCTCATACTCATCCTTTGGAAAAAAAGCAACCAAAACAGTATTTTTTATGGTTTGTTTTAGTTTCTCTGAAACAACAATGCAGAGCCCACCCCAGCAGCAGTAATTGCTGGGGAGGATGGCAGAGGGAGTTCAGGCTTTGATATTAGATGCCCTGAGTTTGTTCTGCATCCTACTATTAGGTGCCTCTATGATCTTCCAGTCCTCAGTTTCCCTTATCTGCATCAAAAGTACTTATTTTATACGAATGTTAGGAGGATTAATTGAGATGAC